TGGGAGGATAGGAATATTATACGGGTACAGTGCACTGCTGCCCCCACGTGGCACTCATAATGAACTGCATTATACGTTGGGACTATTTGTTTTGCCTGAATTAATGCGTAGATTCAAGTGATATTTTAGCACCAGCATAAATGTATCCATCCTGACCACACAGGCTGAAAACTATCAAAACAGTGTGATGTGTATAATAATTATCAATATAATTATAATTAAATCCAAACCAGCTTGGTTGACAAAAACAGATTTTGTATTTCAAGCATCTCAGTTACAAAACGTAACAGGGTCAGGTCTGTTAGGTACAAAAAATAAATTAAACTAAACTAATGTACATAGATATGTGTGTGCTGAATATATTTTATGGACCTTGATCATACAAGAAAAAAAACAGTCTGTAAAAAGGGATGGTAATTTGGGAATTCCTATTATAGCTGACACCAGAATTTACACATAATTTACCTTAGGTGACTAAAATAACCAGTAGCAAAATATAGTATCAAATAACAACAAATATAAATGTAATGATTGTATGACTTACATATATACTTTTTATTTTACATAATTTTATAGTGATTTTTGTTGATGATCCAGCTGTTGGCTTCCTGGCACCTCTGAGATGTCTCTGTTCCATAACTTGATGTTTTTTGGCATTTGTGGACATGAACAAATGTCAAATCCTTTAGAGTTTCTCCACTGACAATAAATAGGAGACTGTACATCTGAGGTATTTATAGTATTTATATTTATAGTATCCTGTAACATGACAGAATTTCAGTGAAGAGCAAGAAGGTTCCATATTCGAGCCCCGGCCGACCCGGGACCTTTCTGTGTGGAGTCTGCATGTTCTCCCTGTGCCTGTGTGGGTTCCCTCTGGGTACTCTGGCTTCCTCCTTTAGTGCAAAGACACGCCGCTTAGGTTAACTGGTGACTCTGAAATGCTCGTTTGAGAGTGTGGTTGTTTGTCTACATGTCTCAGCCCTGTGATATACTGGCGACCTGTCCAGGGTGGACCCTGCCACTCGCCCAGTGCCAGCTGGGATTGGCTCCAGCCCCCCGTGACCATCTTCAGGATAAGCGGTATAAATAAAGGATGGATGGAACTTCACTGCAGTTTTCACTGTTTATATGTGAAAACTTTATTACACCTTAGTTACCAATAACTACAATGTCAAAACACCCACAAAACATCTTCCTGTGTTTTGTTCCCTTCTTTGAAAAGGTGCAGACAGTCACATCTCGCACAGTTCAAAAAGTGATTTTGTTGCCAGGGAAACTGTGGGAAGGAAAGCAGTTTTAAAAACTAGCAGAGATGGACTATGTCATTATTGCTTTGCATTTATAATAGGCTGGTGCAGAGCATGAGAAGTGGATAATATCCATCCATCCAAAACCCATCTATCCATCAGCTCCAACATTAAACTGATGATGAGGTTCTTTCAAAAAGCCCTTTTAAAGGTCATTCTTATAATAGTACATCTACCCTGTATGATGTAAAGAATTCTGTATGCTTCAAACAAAAACACTTTTGTAACTTTCCAGAACCAACAATTTGCCAAGCAGCAGCTGGCCAGGCCTGCAGAGGTTAGGTGAGATCAGGTCAGGTGCACCCTGTTTGCTTAATTACCATTGAGATATGTCTAAAACATGATTGGTCCACCTGTGGTGAATTGAACTGACTGACAAAGTTTAGAGAGGCACTCATCTGATGCTGCTTTGTGGATCTTTGTGTTAATGGAGGTTCTCAACATGAAAACAGGCATATGGGGGGAGAGCAGGACACCACATGAAATATGGAATGTAGGAAAATGTATTTCAATCTATATGTTTAGTGTATCCTAACAATAATTAAATTTGATAAATAGTGTGGAGAATTAAAACTTGATTTGGTGACGGCATCCTCTCTTCTTACAACCAAGGTCAAGGTTTATGTTGCCACCCACTTCAACTGAGGTGGATGAAGTTCTCTAAAATAGTCCCTATGACTACTTGTTGAGTCGATTATCCAGAAAACCAGTTATGCTGTTTCTATACAAAGGCAATTTCAGAGCCTGGCCTTCCATAACTACAGTAGATACCACAAGACATGAGTGAGAGAGCGTTCTGTAATGTTGGCAAATGACCCTTTAATACACTGCACTGTCTGTTCGAGGGACATCATCAAAGCGACAAGAGGTCTTGGCCACTTAGAGTGTGAGTATAATCAGTTATTGATCCCTATGTGGTATAGCCTTATGACTCCCCTTTCTTTCTCCTGCCTCCTGCCTCCAGCAGTGTATGTGTAACAGGCTGTTAATGAGGTTGTAAGAACTGTAATTGACAGGCGCAGGAGGTCATTTCTGCAGAGATTTGAGTCTCGGCCAAACGTGATCACACTGGTTGAGAGCTCAGAGGATTCGTCTAGTGAGGATGGGGAGTGTGTGAAGTGCTTGGGTGGAATGCAGCCAAGAACTGAGAGATGAGGATAAAGATAGAAATATGTGGTAAACATGGGACCTGGACCTGGCACAAGAGCTCAAGTAACAGAGTGTAAAATATGGTTAGAAGTAGGGCTTGTGGTTAGTATTGTTATTGATTAAAGCAACTTTAATCAGTTCAGTCATTTCAGCAACTAATACACAATCTTTAAGAATGGTTCTAAAAGACCTAAATGACAGAGCATAAGGGTTATTTGGGCTTGGAGATTAAAATGCACACCTTACAAGAAAGTTACTCACAGGAGGCAGAGTTTAAAAGATGTAGGTGTTAAGCAGACTAACAATACAGTCCTACAGTATCAGGTTACATCACAGGAATTGTAGGATCCACTACATTTGGAGCCATAATAAGACCTGGAAGTCAGGATATCTGCTGCGCAGACCATGCCAATTTAAAAATTGCAGACTTTATGAAGGTGCACTACTAAATCAAAGTAATCGCATCATTTTATTAACTTTTAAAATAATGAAAAAGCTTGTTTTGTCTGTCCAAAAATATTCAACTTAGAATAATATAAAACAGAGAAATGCCTCAACTGCATTTAAAAAAGCAGCAAGTGGAACTCACTGATTTTGGCGACCCAATGACTTACCTCTAACGCCACCATGAGGTGACACATTTATATTCTCACTTTTCATCTAGTGCCATCATTAGGTCTGAATAGTCACATGACCAAATACCTGCTAAACTAATGGATTCCCTTCAGTACTTTGTGCTTAGTGTTAATTAGCAACTGCTAGCATGTTACGCTTATGCATGATATTAAACATTACAACTGGTCGATATTGGGATGCCACTTTGAGAATTTTGGCAAACTGGCATGATGGTATTTAACCCAGAGCACCACTGACCTTGAGGACAGCCTCACAGAGCAGTGAGCTTAGACTCTGTGGAAAAAAAAATACTGATTTACATGTACAGGTTTTGTGGAACTGTTGTTTCAAAAGAAAACATCTGTTGTGGTCTATGCTTAAGCACTTTTCAAGATATCATTCAATGAGTAACATGGAATTTGGTTTCAACAAAATTATCATAATTTCGTAACTGTGACATGATGCCAATGACATTTTAAGCAAAAAGGAATACAAGAGATCACTTTATTGGATTTATTAAGTTGTATTCAGACACTCAAAACTGATCAGCCCATCACTAGTAATGCTGTTTTACACCATTAAAATTCATTGAGCTGTAAGAGAGACCACCAGTTAGGTTAATTATGTTACCCGCTTGTAGCCGTGGGTTAGCAGGTCCAATACAGTCCATCATATAAAATTGAAGGGCAGGCATCATTAATTCAAACATGATCAACACTGTGCAATGCAGTAAAGGTTCCTTTCAAACATGACCATAGACCATTTCTGAGAAAAGTAACAAGACACCAGAGAGGGATTTAGTTAATAACACTACATATACCTTAAAGACCACTGCTGCTTAACATCTGACCAGTTTGTGACAAGGTCTAAAATGAAACAAAAAAGAAAGAACCAGACCTATATTGAACTGTACAATTGTTCAGAATCTCTAGATAAATTTCCCGGTGAGCTCTGCAAGCTGTAATAGAGGAGGAGGAAGACAACATTGCACCCTATAACGGAGTATATTTTTCCACAGACTTGTGACAATGGGTAGCAATCCAATTTTCTGTTTGTGTGCTGCAAGAACTGTATTCTAAAGACCATCCCCCCCAGATTCAGAATACTCACATTGATGCAGGTTGACTGCTGGTCTGAACAGAAACTGAGCAGATTAAAGTTGAACTAGTTGCAAGTTCAAGTCTTTGGGAGACAACTCACAAATGTGGATGTTCAACAGTCTTCCGTTTTCCATGTGAAGCCACACCAGTGCTGGAACTTAGCATGGGACTTCTGTGATGGACTCAGCAACACTGCAACATGAACGCATTCATTCAATAGCAAAGCTAAATTTAAATATCCTCTCATAGCAGCTTCATGTTGGCCTGGAGGTGCTGGTTCCTGATGTTCAAACACTTTCCATGTTCCCCACACCATGAAGACTTTGTGGTTCAATGTGACAAGCCTATACCGCTCTGTAGGAGAAGATTCGTATGCTCTTTTAAAAAAAAATAAAATAAAATAAAATAAAGCTTGTTGCACATAATGGAGAGCCTGACATGTACAGTGGTTGTTTCTTCTATACTCTCAAAAGACTTTTTTGTGTTCTTTGAAACTTTTTCAAAAACTGGACAGTACTGAATTTATTTTCTGCACTTTTCTATTAGGACTGACATAACGACTGTGAACAAAATTTAAAATATTACAGGCAACATCATTCACATCCATTTGACCCTGTGAAGTGACAAACAAGCAAACAAGGCTACACCTTCTCATCAGCAAGTCACTCTTGAAACCTCTCACACAACACAGTCACACATTCACAGGCTTCGTGCTCACTCAGCTTCCTTACACGGGGTTAGTCTTCCAACTGAATAAGGGATAGAGATGTGTTGTTTTTAGGCCTTGTAGTGATACATGCATCCATTATACTGATATACACTTCTTAAAAAAAAAAAGTTAAAAAAAAGGACATCAACAAAAAAAAAGGTATTAGAAATGCAGCTATACAGAGTCTTTTAGCTATTCCAGGGGGAGTGAGGCTGAGGATCAGGTCTGACGTCAGAGAGCCACGAAGCCCGATGTCCAAATGTCGTTCAGTTGGGATGGGGTGGGATGGGGTGGGGGGCTGTGAGCAGGAAGAGCTGGGTTAGTTACTGCAGCAGGGACGGCTGCTGGGCTGAGCCGTATCTGTCAGGACCACTCCCTGGTTCCGCCCACTGGTGGCGCCAGCAGCTTGAGGCTCATTCTTGGGTAACTTCTTTGCTGCAGTGACATAGCAACAAGGCCCATGATGAGAATCAATGATCAGATGAGTCAAGCACATCAAGCTTTATTTTGATGAGTAACTTAACACTGAATCCACTATTCTGAGTCAGCAAATTTACCTGTAGTCATTTCAATGCAACCACATACTATCAGTGGAGTCTAGTCCCATTCTTTAGTGTTTACTGCAACAAAATTTGTTTTCCTTTTTCCATTCAACAACCCACTGTCACCAGCGTGGGCATGGTGACATGATACTTTGTCAATAATCCTTTTGAGATATTAGTATCATTCATGTCAACAAATATGGAAAAAAAAAACAAAAGACATACTGTCATATCTAGAAATAGGCTTGTCATTTTTTGCCTGAAAAAGGATGAACAATTAATTATCAAAATAGTTGCCAATTAACTTTTGGATGGTCAGCTAAGTGACTGATTGAGTGGGAGTTGTGAATGAAGCACAGCACGTACATGCTCACATTCCTGAGAATGGTTCTAATCAGGCCACATAAGTGGGAAAAACTGAGTGGGTGGTGGTTTCAATCTAAAGGTGTTTAAAGAACCAGGACTAGGATATAACAAATAAAAAATATATTTGACATCGCCCTCTGGTGGAGAAGCTGTGTATTAGCCATGCAGTTGACACTTCACACTACATTTTTACATTGTGACCTGACAGGCCTTTTTTTCAAAAACCTGCATACATACAAGAACTGTCAAAATGCATTTCTTTTTCCAAATTCATCATCCAGAGCTTGCCCTTAAATTGCCAGCAAAGTAGTATGTATCAGTGATAAACTGGCACATGATAGAGGAACTGGGGAACAATATACTAACTTTATGCTACATACTGTAAATTCAAATGGCTTCCATTTATCTGGAGCTGGGGCCTATTAATAACACAAACAGTGGCAATTAAGCCTTGGCTTTCATTATTTATATTATGCAATGAGAATCTTATTGGTGTAATCCACCAGTGACTGATGATCACAGGGATGTAAACACCTAGTAAAATAAGATGGGGGTCATGTGATATGAATAAACACACATCTAAAAGCTGACTGCCTTGCAACATATCAATGGAAACTGAGCAATACATCAGTTGTGTCCTCTGGCCAGGTGTGGGCTCTGTAATGAGGCAGCTTTGTTGACCTAGTGTGACGTGACTGGCATTGAAATGCAGCCTTAGGAGGGCACATTCTCTGACATGGGATACAGCTGGAGTCTGATAGATAGTGGAAGTGAAAATAATGGAGCATCACTTTCAACATGTTCCTCACTCTACTGTGAAGATGGGAGGTGGAGGGGTGTTACCATCCACTTGGAAGCATAAGGATTTTAGGGAACTGCAGTCCTGATCTTTAGGAAAATTAAGAACAAAGTCATAAATGCAAGTCAGAAGCTTTTACTGTTGCTCTAAGACTGCTTCAAAGATCTAAGAAAGAAAAGCAAAGGGAAAAGACACAAGACACTTACCAATGGCCATGAAAATCTCGTTCACGTTCATCGAGGTTTTTGCTGATGTTTCCATGAAAAGCAAGCTGTTGTCATCTGCATATGACTGTGCATCCTATAAAAACGAAGCATCAGGAAATTAGTTAATGGACAAACAGAGCTAGGACGCCCAAAGCATCCACAGGATGGTGAGCCAGTTACACAAAAATTGTGTGATTCTGTCAGAATGTTAATCAGTCTGTGAATACTCTATGTTAGCTTGGGCTAATGATTCTGTTCACATCGTCCAGTTCATTATTAAGGATTTAAAGAACACAAACCTGGAAGTCCAGTGCTCTCTTGTTCGCAAGATCAGCCTTGTTCCCAGCCAGGGCTATTACAATATTTGGACTGGCTTGTCTCTGAAGCTCCTTAACCCAGTTCTTCGCCCGTACAAATGACTCCTGGCAAACACAACAGAGGGTGGTGACTCGGTTAGTGAAAAATAACAGTAAGACCCACAGGAGCCTTCCTATGATGCCTGGGGAACCCTTTGCTTTTCTTTTCAGTAAAGCCCAGAACAAAGTCTCATAAAAATCCGCTTTTCTGAAATGTAAAATGTAAACATGGCTGTGCTATAGCCCCATGCAGAACCTATGCAGCCAAGAAAAGATATCAAAGATGAGTACCACATCCCTGTTTGTTGAGCTCTGAATAGAAGACTTTCTTTATTTTGCACCCTGTCAAGTTCACTATAAGGGTCAGAGGATACTTCACACCTGAGGCTGTCACTGGTCCTCTTGGTTCTGAGGAACAGAGACCAGACTTGGGACCTGAGTCAGAGAGGGTTCAAATTCTACTTAGCCTAATCAAGTCAGGTCTTGGCTCTGTATGTCAGTATGTGTGCCAACAATACACTAGGTGTGTGTATGCAGTATCAGGTGTCTGATACTGCATACAGACAAGGGGGAGACTGAGAACTCTGAACTTTACAGCTCACTGCAGCTTTGTTCTGATGAGTGAACTGAAATGGAGCTCACTTCAGAAAAAACAATCACCTGCCAGATTTATGTCATTAAGTTATTTTTTTCAGGTTCTATATCCCCAGCAGCCACCGCCAGCTCCATACTCACACCTATAGCCACTTTACATTTATATGATTTACAAAGTTAAGTTTACAGAAACATGGAAACAATCCTTGTCTATTTTTCAGACACAATTTAGAAATAGGATATAAATAAAAAAAAACTCTGTGGCAACTATTTTTTAAACTGCTTACAGATCCAATTAACATTTATAAAACTAAAAGACAGTGAAAATGAACACTTGCTGTCTAATTTATAGATTATGTGGAGATCCAGATGTGTAACCTGTTGGGAGTGAAGTGACTAATATACAATATGTACTAATATGCAAACAATGTATGTGCATTGTCTACAAAACACTATGTTGTGGAGTGAAGACTCATCTATTAATTAGTCAGGATTCCAAAATAAGGGCTCTATTTTTGGCTTGACTGGACTAAGAAAACTGAACACGGAAACCTCCATTAACTCCTCATCACTGACCAAGACAGCTGGTGACAGATGTGCTGGTAACAACCACGGCCACATGACAGGAAACCTGGCACCTGACTCACCTCATTTGTTATATCATAGACCACGATGGCGGCCTGGGCACCTCTGTAGTACATGGGAGCCAGACTATGGTAACGTTCCTGACCGGCTGTGTCCCAGATTTCAAACTTGACCGTTGTGTCGTCCAAACATACTGTCTGAGTCAGGAAGGCAGCTGCAGGGGCATAACACAGAGGGACCAATGAAAAACAAGCCTGCAGCAACTGAGCTGCACAAAATGTGTTTCAGTGAAGGTAATAATTTCAGATCAGTGCTGGAGACACTTATCTTATTCACTTATTCCACACTGAGAAAATGACATGGGAAATATCAAACCCATTTTATTGAACATGCATTATCTGAGTGGGCGCTGAAGCGTTAAGTGGGGTGGAATTCACTCAAACACATTTCAACCCTTATTTATTTACACAGAAATTTTAATTGGCAGCAATGCTCTCTCTCTCACTTTTTGTTTTTTGACCTCCCTGTTTCCACATTCACTCAGTGCCCCCCTCCTTTTCACTTTACCAACCAGATTTATCTTCCCCTCTCTGGGGATCAAACCATGGTGCCCTTCAGGTCTCAAACCAAGGCCATCACTGTCCACTGACTGCTTCTCTCCCGTAGCTGTGCCTCTTTTATTGTTTTTTTTTTATTGTTTCATCATTGTGTTTGAATGCTTGTCACTTTATTACACACATTAACACATACTGATTCATACTAGACAGATAAGCTGAGTTATAATAGCACCTTTGACTCATTCCTGCCCAACTGTCCAGTGTAAGCATATTTACTTCCCGTGATCAGCACAATTTGTGCTCCGTGGTCAGTACCATCTAAGGTTTTACAAGTCTACAGGTGTTTTGGGGTGCTCCGATAGCCCAGTGGTTATGCTGTGGTGCACCAGGCACAGTATACATGTGACACTGGCAGTTCGGGTCCAGTTGCCAACCTCTGTCTCTCCTTCATTTCCTGTCCAACTCTCGACTCACTAATAATAGCTAAAATAAAGGCAAAAACACCCAATAAGCATTTTTTTTTTTAAATTCTACAGGTGTTTTGATTAGGCTTGAGGTGAGTCTGAGAATAGCAATGCGATGGAATAGATGGAATTTGACCGACCACATGATTTTCAGCATGCAGTATGTTTTCCACTGTGTAATAAGTGTAAGATTATGTAAATGGTAAGTGGCTGCTTTAACCTCACATAAGCTACTGGACATACCAGGAAACAGGGGTGGATGTCTGGGAATGTACCCAATTATTTCTGCAATTCTATGCTCTTTAAGGCCGTTTTCGGACTCACGCTCTCCATCTGCAGTTCCAATCTGAAAAATTGTCTTCATTTCCCTTTATTTTCAGCTAATTGTTACCACTGTTTACTGTCACAGAACTCTAGTGACAGCTATTTGTTTCTTATGTTATGATAATGATCTAAAACCTTAATATAGATTCATCTATTTCAGTGACAACAATGTAAATAAACGTATTAGTTACTGCAATCTCTGTGTACAGTTTTGCGAGTGTATTCTCAGAAAAGAAGCCACAAAACAAACTTATAAAAAGACACATACCCCCGATTGTGCTCTCTTGGAATTCATGAAACTGTCCCTTGACGAAACGAAGTACAAGACTTGACTTCCCCACAGCTGATTCTCCTAAAAGCACAAGTTTGAACTGGCAGATCTTGTTGCCTGCGTTTGGCCCATTGGGTCGTGTGGCTCCACCTCTACTTGCCATGTCACACTGTCCGGTCTCTTCCACTGGACACTGACGTACTGTGAAAGTGCAGGAAATACCTGAACAGGTGAGACAAAAGAAAGTTAAGTGCCATACCCATATGAAAAATGTCAAGATGTCATTCTCTGCAACTATGATTCATTATTATGACAAGCAAAACACAAAAGATGATAATTTTCCTAAATTATTTAGCTGTAGCTTTTGGTAGCATACAGCAACTGAAGCTTAGTTATTTTGAAGAATAATAACAAATTTTATAAAAACACTGCTGCCTATTTTTGTAGATGTCCAGGTGTGCATCAGACTGAGCTACGCCACTCATCCCAAATCATGAGTAACTCAGAAAAAAAATAATTTCAAATGAAATTTAAGAAAGCAGCATACCTGTGGAATGTTGGAGTTGTCTTTTATAAATCATATTATATATAAACAAAATAGAGATTATACTGTATATACGAGATCATATTTTATGTAACATTTTCCAACAAAAAAAAGTCTACTCCTGAAGTACATGATCTCAGAACTTTCATATGTTTATGCACAGATTGCTGCACTTTGTTTGCAGAACAGGGGAAATATTCATGAAAGTCAATGTTATAGTTGTGTGTTTTTGTTCTTAGACTATTTCTTTTAAAACCAAAAGTCCAAACCCCAAGGCCAAGATGTTACAAATGATACCAAGAAGCAATTTTTCTGTAGTTCACCAGACACAAAGCTGACAAAACTTTTACTTTACCAGGTACATTTTCTTTCCCCTCTAAAAAAATTGCTGGTTGCTTGACATAGTAATAAGCTGAGAACATAAATGTAACAGGTATAACAAAAACACAGCAAGATTCGGCAGAGAGTAAGAGTCAATTTTCACCCAAGGACGGTATTTTACTAACCTAAGTCACACAAACAGTAAGAGAAAAGCTGCTACCTTGCAGTTTTACACCTGTACCCAAATGACCACAAGCTCTAAGAGTAATAAAAAGTTGACCAACTGGTGTGACTGTAGAAAGACTGGCAACTCCTGCCTGTAGCTTTAAGGTTATATGAAGCAGAGTGTTACAAAGGGGATTCGTATGACACAGACCTGGACACATATGTGGGAAAAACACTTCAAGGTTAAATTACAGTCTTTATGTAGGATGTCTGAATATTGAAAGCGAATAAAAACAAACCATGTTAACCAGACACCACTGTAGCTTGGGCGTTTGTCATTACCACCAACCAAGTTAACAAAGTATCAGCCATAAAATAGGTGCCATTACTATCAACCTCGGCGAAACAGCGTTACAACATACTGTAGAGTTAACCACATATAACCTGCTATGTTGTTGTTGACTGTCTCGAATTAGCAGAGTAGCGACGCGTAAGCAACACAGCCAACTCAAAATGTTCTTTAACGTTATGCTTCATTGCAGCCAGAGATCCAAAACCAGCCTCTAGCTGTAATAAAGAATAATCTAGCCTGAACAGCGCTAGCTCCGACCTGGGTAACACCATACACACCATGCTTAAAGACACGAGATCTGACATTTTTATCACGGTTGAGACTACCAAAACACAGATGATGCAGGTTTGGGTGTGTACAGCTAATGGTACTAGCTAACGTTAGCTGCATGGCCTTAAACTGATGAACTATCTTTTCGATCACTTAAAATGGGTCGCTGGTGTTTCTTATATTAAATGTGGGTTGATGATACTGATCGGAACATGACGGCTCATCTGGATTCGCTAACCGCACAACGTTAACTTACTGTGCTAACTAGCTTGGCCCTTCCAGTTTCGGCAAGCTAACATTAGCTGGCCGGATAATACACACTGGGTTGGCTAACATAGTAGGCAAACGCTGTTTAGCTGTGGCCGCATCGGGAGGAGCCCTCCCGGATAGCCATTAGCTAGCTAGCTAACACTAATATTAGCCACTCACCTACCAAAAAGAGGAAGCTAGTTATGTTAATTGTGTCTCCGGGACAATATTTGTGGCACTTCAGCGTAGCTTCACAGTGAGTCGAGCTCCCAGCCAAGATACTGTAATATTAAATTTCATAAGGCCCCGCGATGTCCCTCTCCCACTTCTTTCAACTTCCCTTTTCGCATTGTACGAAGGATGATGACAGATCGTATGACTGGAATTGACAATCCGCCTACGTAGAAGTGGGTCGGACCAATCATATGTCAGGATTTATTCCGAAATTACTGGCATGTCTTTCCAAAAAACAAAAACACACGAATAAGAAAATGTAAAATAGGATATAGGAAAGACTGAATTTGATGTACTGTAAGTTAACGTTAATACACGTGGGTTAAAAACAGCCTGTAGTTAAAGAAATATGTTTATTCGCCATATTTTTGTCAGTGATTGTTCCTTTACATAAATTACTGGCGTGCCCATTCGCTTAAATAATCATATATACACCTGAAATGTATGAAAATACCATGTAGCAGTATTTTGAATCGAGCTGCTGAATGACGTTGCTAGGCAACGAAACTCAAACACGTGCACAATTTAGCGTCTTATTGACCAGAGGAACTTTGACCACAGGATAGCTAGAAAGTCTTTTTAAAAGCTCATGAATGGTTAAGACGAACATTAACGATAAAAGATAAGCATATATTTTGCTTCTGTTGCAGCCACATTTGAAATAAGATGAATGTGACTGATGGAAATAGCGATTACCAAATGAAATATACAGATAGATATCCAAACGTTCCTAAGGTAAGCTAAGTCAACTTTGAGATGACGTTAGCTAATGTTGCGTTAGCTAAATAAACCGTTGTCTTGTCCGATACCACATTGCTGTACTGTACACCTGATATACTGTATATTAATTTTCTTATTTATTTTAACACCAGGCTGGGAAACTAATACCTGTAGGATACAGTGTTAAGAGCTGCTTACAAGAAGTGACGAGGGTAAGACAAACTCAGATTTTAAGTAAAGTGACTTAGCTATACCACAGTGTAGAAATACTTTGTTACACATAAAAGTTATGACTTCAAATTTTTATTTAAGTAAAAATACAAAACATACTATCAGAGAAGGTTCTTGCTAAAACGGAAAGTTGAAGTAAGTATCACAATTTATGCAGGTGGTAAATATGTCGCTAATACTTAACACTTCAGGAATTGTTCATTATATTTTTTATTAATAACTAAAGTGAAAATGATTAAAGCTGTCAAATGACTGTAGTGAAGTGAAAAGTACCCTAATTCCCTCTGAAATGTAGTGGTGTGCCTGTGTAATGTAACATAAAATTTAAATACCTCAGGGTTCTTTTTATGTAGCAAATGCTATTTGCTAAAAGTTCATATTTTAAATGTGTGAGTGTGAGAGTTTTGACAGGTGCTGAATGATATCAATATATGTTTTATCTCTGGAAGCTTTGACACAGCTGGAAATATGACTATTACTTGTAGCAGCTTTGTAAATTTTAAATGTGCATGTTTGCTCTCTCTGATATGTGTATATTTTTACTTTTCAGCCCCCCACCCCACCAGTGGTAAGGAAATTCCACAACAGCATTCAGCCAGAACCAGGAGCAATCAGAGTGCACCCAGGGAAGGCAAATGATCCAGATGTTGCCAGCACGCTTGTTCATGGCATCAGCACAAAATCATCCATCAGTGTGAGTGCCACACATATACACGCTCTCCTCCTCGTGGGTTAAAGGGGCAATAAGGAGGGTGTTTACCATTCCAGACTGGGAGTCTGCTTGGTGATAAGATTTATAGCTCTCAAAACAAATGTCTTACCCAAATAAAGGACCAAAAATTCTTGCCTGTTGGAATTTTAAGATGCTCCATATTAAGGCCTTGTTTATAATGTATCTGTTTTTAGTTGGTAATTGCTAATGGAACAATTTAAGAAAAGAAGTTTAGTGGCAGGTTTACTGTAGTGTGTACAGTATTTGTTTTAAAGCTAGTACTCTAAAACACTCTTTATTTATGGCACAGTCTGATTTTAGTATGCATAAACTGTGCATGCAAATTTTGATGTCACACAACCATAGAATGGATATAAGTTTTGCCTCTTTACATGTTTCCAACAGAGCAGAAGTTTGCTCAATCCTCCAAAAAAGACCTTGTTTCAACAGAAGCTGCAAGAGTTCAGTGAAGCAGTGTACACCTCCAGTCGAAAAGCACCTCTGGGAATGTCATGTGATCAGCGTGGAGGACTTCCCACCTGGTATAATGACAAAACTACATTTGGTGTTAAAACAGTTAAAGGTATGTGTAATGTCAAATAAGGTAATGGTTGGTAACATTTAAATAAGAGAACAGTAGGTTTAAATCTAGAAGCTAAGCCATAAATGCTGTAACACAAACATGCAGATGTGTATCTACTTTCTACTTTATCAAAAATGTGTCAGCCCAGTAATTATGTTACTACCCCCCTAAAATGTTAAGGTTTTTTTCCATGTTATAAATATTTAACATAAGAGTAGGCACCATTTACTGAAATGAGGAACATCCTCTCTTTTAAATGCCTCACTGTCTTTTTTGTTCAGGATTAGATGTGCACGCGCTTATTAACCCTTCAAAAACAGCAGAGGAGGTAGAGAAAGAAGCTCAGGCGGGACATGAGGGTTATGTTCGAAGCCACAACGCTTTTTTTGTTGGTAAGAAAAATTTTAACTCAGTATTTGCCTATGGCCTTTACTATTACTACAACTATGATGTCTGCCTTTCACCACAATAAAGCCACCTTGCTCTACTCCAGGTGAGCAAATTGATAGGAAGTATGATTGGAGTCACTACAGTAAAGACAGCAGGTTTGGGATCCCCACACCTCATTTCAACGATGGTCGTAATCTTGGCAAAACTCTTCATTGGTTGGGGGAGACACAGAAGTAAGTGTTGAAATTTATTATATCAGGATAAACTCTTTGAGAGGTGCCATCTCATTTTTCGGTGGGGTCCCTAAACAAACACTCAGTTAAACAGAACAGAAAAACATAAAACAAGTCATAACAGCAACATACCAATTAGAAACAAAACAAGTGCTTAAATAAAGTGGACACAATCCGGTGTGTTTTGCTGTTCATTTCCATAACACTGTGTCATTCCACAGCACCATTCAGTATAATATCTAATTCAAAAATAAAACTGAACCTGATCTTATCATATTATTTTTACATAGATTTTACCATCCAAAGCCTGTTTGGAAAAGATCTGGTAACAGGGAAAAGATGGCACTGCAATTTGGCAAAGTGAGCAAGATGTAAGTTTCTTTAACACTCTCCTGACCTCTGACTGTACTAATTAATGTTTAACTTCACTCTAATTAAAGTCATCTTTTCAGGAGAGGAAATACCCTGAACGTTCCACCAAATCACACCTTTGGAACACTCTTGCCGCAAGATGGATTTGGTAGAGTTTTTATAAACAAAAATGCTAACCTTGGGTTATACTATGCTTTGGAATATTTATAATAGGGTAGATTGGTGTGAGTTTTTTCAGTTCAAGACTGCAAACAATATCTTGCTGGATTTGTCTACAGGTGCTGGACATATAATCCACTCCATGGAGCCAGGGCAGCATGTGAGAGACAGAGAAAGACAGCGTAGCCTGGTCAGTGCAGTGCAACACCACCTCAAGAAGGTCAACTTCCACAACTTCCCCTCCTTGCTGCAGGCGTTCAGACATTATGACAAGGTACAAATGGAATGACTACAGTTTTGGTGAGACACAATTCTGTTGACCTGTACTTTCAATCTTCAGGCTGTTTATCTTATTAAATTTGAAAAAACACAGTGACACTTTGTTCAGTGTACTAAGTCAACACAATAGGTTGACATTTAGTTTTTATATGAAAAAATAATTAAAGAAAGCAGAGCACAATCCTTTCTCACATTAGAAAGTTTTACTTGTCATAGCAGGAAAACCACATCTGTAACAAATAATCTAACTGAAAACTGCTTTTCATCTAGGACTTGGCAGCCATTACTCATGTTACTAATTCCACCTGTGCTTGACAAGTCAAAATGTCTGCTGTGTTAAACAGCCCGTGACCCTGGTGTTAAGTCATGATAAAGTACTACTGTTACTATGCTCCTATCATAGTCTCATACTTGAAAGAGCATACTGTCATTGTGGAGCATTTTTATGTACAGTATATCTTTCTATGTAAATCACTAGAAAGGCAAAGGAATGATTGACAAAGAGGATCTGCATGCAGTGTGCCGTCAGTTCCAGCTGGATGTTAGCGAGCCTGTCCTGAATGATCTAATGGAATACTGTGACACAGACAAGGATGGGCTTATCAACTTCCTGGAGTTTGCTAACTTCCTAAATTGGAAGGACAAGATGCCTATCAACATATGGGAGCAGCGCATTATAACGAATGGTCAGTTAAATGCATTGTAAAGTATCCATGTATTTACTATGATGCATGTATTTATTTCTCCTGCTCAGGTAGCAGAGACTGAATTACAAGTGCAGTTAGTTGAGCTATTCTTATGGTATTTTAGATTGCAACAACAATGACATAAGAATTTGGCATTATAAGACTCAGAGGTTTTTAAGTCATGATAGTTAACGCTAAGTTAAATTAAGATTTATTGTGAAAACTCGATTTCAGGAACAATGTTTGTTTGTTTCCTACAGAGACCAGCACAGCTCCAGCCAACATGGAGAGTAAGCTTTTGTCACAACCAGCACATCTTCCTGCCTATAAAGCCTTGATTAAACCTGAGGAACTGGAGCCTCTAGAGCCAGGCAGCTCACTGAAGACTGTCAGGACCCTGAGGCGACAGAAGGTAGCCCCAGACCACTTCATCACCTCTTCCTCCCTTATTGGGTCTGTCGGTGATTCTGTGCTCACATCAAGTAAGTCAGGAGAAGGAGTTTGTTGTGACAACTATGTTGTGCATGGCACAAGCACACACAATGCTACATTTGTAACAGATAAAGTGACTGTAGTGTCACATTTTAACAGTTTTTTTGTCCATTTGAAACTTAAGTGGGATTTGTTGGTGGAAACTGTAATTGCAGGCAGAATGTGCACAGTGCAAAAAGGGTGGATATCAAGGGTGAAAGAACCAAGAGCAGCAATATGCAGACATTCTCCCTTAGTTTAAAATATCTGTATAATGACATGTGGGTGGCATATTTTAAAACACCATTGTGGGATACATAAAATGAGTAATCTCATTTTAATTCTTGTAGATGGTTGGTATCACTCTCTTACTGTATGTTTTGTCTTATGAGTCAGTCATCATCACCTAAAACTTGATTCAGTGTATTCTGAGCACTTTCACACTTTTGCTTTATGTTTGAGAGCATCATTAGTTTCTTTTGACTGATATGCAAAAGATTTATGAGCACTAGTTTAACATGTTTATTTTGTTCACTCCCGTCTCTTAAAAATCCTTACTCATCATCTGGTCTCTGTTTTCATAGACACCCGCATCTATGGGATTCCGACTGTGCGCTCCGATCGTCCAGCTCCACGCATCAGAAGAGTCGGTGACACTACAAACTACGGTGATACATCCACAGCTGCAAATCTTCTGCATCCCTCGGTTCATGCCCTCCATGGTGTTCATGAGGAACACTTCTTCTGTCCTCGCACCAAGGAGGAGGTATGCCCTACACAAGAAAGCTGGGAAATAGTGTACCTACATAACAAAATTGGAATTACTGTGAATAAACATGAGGCAGCCACAGTGACTGTCTGTATTTAGAGTTTGGCTGGTTACCCTTTGTACATATTCTTTCAGATATCCTTTTATGTCATTTGCTGTTTTGCCAAGTTGGATTAAATTTAACCAAGTGGAGGGGCTGAATGAGACATGTTTATGTAATAGACATTTTGATAGCTGATTTTTTTTTCTGCCAAAGCAGGAAAACATTAATAGCATTATCGATGGCTCCACTCTACTCAGTCATTCCAGCGAGGCAGCATGCACAATACCAGGGCCCTGGATGTGTCCAGCTGATTCACCACAGTATTTAAATGTTGTTAATTACACCTGTGTCTAAAGCCACTTAAAATATGTGCATTCTGCATCCATTATGAAACCATTTTACTTGTCAGCGCCACTTTGTCTAACATTAGAATGTTATAATCTTTCCATCCTTCCCCTTTTCATTTTATTCTATATGTCAAAGAGGAATCTAAAACATCTTAGCATCATGTTAGCTAATTACACTGTTGGGTATTTCAGCAGTACAGTCTTTCCTGCAGTGTTCTGTTATAAATCTATCAAAAAACTCTCTGAACATTTTAGGTTTCATTGAAATTTCAGCTCATTGACAGGTTCTGGCTTTTTTAAATACACTAATTATGGCTGCTTGTATCAAATATGGAATGAGACCTTGTTTTGTTAAATTGGATGTGCTCTACAGAATCACTACTCCTTTTCTTTGTAATCCCTCTCTCAAACCTGTTATTTGTTCATTGTCTGTTGTTTGAGCGACCATTTAACAACATAACCACATTTTGATGAAATAGGTTTTTGATACTGGTCTTCTCATACTTCTCTTCACAGATCACTGAGATCTTCATGAATGTAGGTGTGATTATTTCCGAGGAGACGTTCGAGGAGGCCTGGAAGCTGGCATCCATGAAGCACCCAGCTGGGGAGGTGTGTGTCGAGGTTTTCCGTAACACACTCAAGGAAATAAAAGCAATATAATACTCAAGATGTATTCCTCATGGCAGTCAGTATTTCTGCCTAAACAATCTCTCTGTCTGTCAAACACAGAAAGGCTCATAGCCAGTAACCTCATTATCAAATTAAAAAGCAACAAAAGGGCATTCCTAATGCAAATGACAGGTTTTCTGCACTGTCTGTGCAAGTGTGACACTTATTTTGATTCCTCTGGAGTAATGCAACGCTTTGCCTTTATATGGGCATAGTGTATGTACGTATGTGTGAGCTACTGCACATCTAGTGTTGTCACGATACCAACATTTTGGTACTGGTACCGGTACCAAAATGTATTTCGATACTTTCGATACTTTCGATACTTTTGGATAGTTTTTCAGACAAAAAGAGAAGGCAAAAAATGTCATTACTGACTTTATTTTAATAGAAAATCTTAGAATAACATCAAAATAGGGCGGGCACAGCCGGCGGCGCTGCAAGTACCGGTCCCATCCAAATGCAGTATAGTACCATTTTAAATGCCTCAGTACCGCGGTACCATACTAGTACCGGTATATCGTGCAACACTATGCACATCTGAATGAACTAATTCAGTATGCAGTGTAAGTTTAGCTTTTTTGGAAGTGATGCACTCTTACATTAGTATATGAACCCCAAGAAACAACACACTAAATTGTAATCACTTTTGCCAGTGTGAGCTGGCAGGTGAAATACTAAGAACTATCTCTGAACCTAATCACTAATCAATTCATTTTATTTGTGCTATAACATACGCCAAGGTAAATGTCACATGCTATTATTGTGTTCAGCTTTGACACTGTTACTTCGTCTTGATAATGATAAAATGATACAGGAAAGGAAACTTTTTAATTAACCACTTTTTAATGACTAGCATCAAACTGTTTTATGATATAAGTGTTACGGCAAGCCGCACACCAAAAGAGCAACTGGACTCAGTAATAGGCAGGACTCAGGTCAGAGAAAGATATTTATTTGACAGAGTATGGAAAGGAAAGGAGGTGGCGAGGAACAGATGCGGAGCTGCCGGCGTGGGTTTTGGGCGTTTGGGGCCGCTGAAATGACTGGACCACTGGAGGAGCCGCCCGGGGGTCAGAGGAGAGGTTTTGGCACTGCGTATAGAGCAGAGAAGGAGATTAGGAGAGGAGACAACAGGCGGATGAGGGTGTGATGAAGTAGAGCACAACACAGGTGACCTGCGTATAGGGGAATGCTGGCTCCGGGCTGGAGAGCGTGCTTGGAACCCAGCGCCGAGGTATGCAGACAGGAACAAGCGCCCACGCTTCACTGACCCAGGCACTTGATATGGACCCCGACCAATGATCGTCGATCAAGACACTCCTCCGTCATCAGTTCAAAATAACAGAAGATACTCCTTGGTAATGAGTTCAGAATAAACATAAGATCTCCCCAATAATCAGTTCCAAAAATAACAGAAGATACTCCTCGGTAATGAGTTCAAAATAAACATAAGATCTCCCACCCATCCCACACTGGTAGTGTGCGATGGGTTATTTTGGCCATGACGCGGCCGTCTAGGGAGTTCGCAATAACCGGTGTGTTCAGCGGCTCGCCCAAAAGCTCCAGCTGGCGGCAGGCGTGGGCTGCCTGCCGGCTCCCAGCTCAGGGGACTGGGCTGGTGGCGCGGTGCGGGGGTGGTGCGGTGGGGGTGGTCTAGAGGGGTGTCCCCGGTCACGACGCTGTTCTCTCAGACGATTGTCGAGACGTATGGCCAACTCCACCAGTGCGTCAAAACGCGTGGGTACATCGTGGTAGGCCAGGGCGTATTTAAGCCCCTCATTTAATCCCTCCGCAAAACGTTGCGCAGAGTGGCCTCGCCCCAAGCCACATCAGCTGCCAGAATGCGGAAGTCCACTGCATATTCAGCCGCAATCTGGGAACCCTGACGAAGGGTGAGCAGCCTCTTGGCCGCATTACCCGCGTGGTCGGGATGATCAAAAACCGTGCGCAACTCTTCTTGGAACTGGTCAGAGCTAAGAGACCCGGACCGAGCCAGCCGGGCTTCTGCCCAGGCCAAGGCCTTACCTCGTAGGAGGTTGAAAATGTAGGCACGTTTGGCGATATCGGTTGTAAACAAGTGTTGCTCCAGAACCATAGCGCACTGGACCAAAAAGCCATGACACGTGTTCAATTCACCCGAGAATGGTTCAGGGTCTGGAACGCAGTTCTCCCGAGGGGTGCCTGGGCTTGTCTCCGATGTTGGTGTTCCGTGAGCTTATAGATCTGCTGAGTGGTGACGTGGGTTTGTTCTAAGGCAATGCGCTGACATTGTTCTAAGTGTTCGATGTGGGCCTGAAGCGCTCTAAGCTCGCTAACGGGGTGACCTGGGTCTGAGCCCGCTGAGTCCATATTTGGCCAGATGATACTGTTATGGCAAGCCGCAATAGACATAAGATCTCCTCAATAGTCAGTTCCAAAATAACAGAAGATACTCCTCGGTAATTAGTTCAAGAAAAAAAAAACGTAAACAAGACAGAGAAACTCACTCAAGTCGACACAGTGGATAACATCAATATGCCAGAGTAGGACGATCTTAGTAGACATCAGGATCCAGGACGTGAAACACGCAAAGTCGCCGGCAGAACACTGAGAGATCATCTGGCGAGTTTTTTTTTGCTGTGTTTAAGTATGGTTCAGCTAATTGAGCGCAGGTGTGCCTCGTCGCCGGGAGCGTGCTCCTACGTGAGCAGGGGTGGAGTCGCTGATAGCCCCGGTATCAGCTGCCGAGGTGCCGGGGACGGCCTGATCCATGGACGTAACAATAAGCCTTCATCTTGGCATCCTCTTGACCTCTGGATTTATTTCTTATGTCTGGTTGGTTGTATGTGAAGCTCCACCTTCTTCGTTGGAAACAGCCGCAAACAATTAGCTTGAACTATTTCTAACACTGCATGTAATACTACTGTATTACATGCAGTGTTAGAAATAGCTACTAGAATAGCTGTTAATGCATAATGGAGCATGTTATGTCAATAAATGTATACATGAATGTTTTGCTTTCACTGTTCCCTGCCACTTCTTAAAGTGAGTGTGTTTTTTCTTTCCAAATACCAACCAGCTTCGTATCTTCTTGCTCAGCAGGGCAACATCAGCATGCAGAGAAATAAAACACATTTACTATCAGCTGGTAAGAGAAACTTCTGCACATGACAGTGAATGTCATTTAACCCTGATATTCTGTTCATGTTATGCTAATTTTTTGTTAGATGATTGGGAAAAAAAACAAATTTACAAATAAAGCAAGATTTTTCACAACTGTTGATTTTTATTTGAACCTCAGTTCAGCTGAACACACTAACTATTTTGGTCTACACAGCACAGCTCTATTGAACACAGACAAACCTATGCATCACATGATCTGTGGTTTTTGGCCATAGATTTTCCCATCCCAGCCCTGCGATGGATTGGCGAACTGTCCAGGGCGTACCCCGCCTTCGCCCGATGGCTGGCCGGGATTGGCTCCGCCCCCCCAACCCCCCCCTGTTCTGGATGGAATCTGGCATCAAAAGTTCAAAAGCAGACTTGATGTTGTGGACATGGGTGACTGCCATTCTTGTTGGCCCTGGTTGCATAGAGATGTAAATGTTTGAAGTGGAGACATTGATTCACACCTGGCTGCTTTGAGGGTCGTAAAATCAAATACTTTTATGCTAAACTAATCAACAGATGTAAATTGTTGAACTATTCAAGACTGTTCTGGCCACAATACAAATGCTAAGCTGTGTAGACAGTGGAATGTAAGAGAAAATGATTGCAACCACAACTTTATTAACCCTGGGTGCAGTACACCCAAACACCCTGTGTGTAATGTAAATTACACCGATCGCAGTGTGCGGTCATTAAAAATGTGTTCTGATATATGTTCACACAAAATGAGCCAAGGCCATTGAGTCTGAGCCTGAAAAAATAATTACTCGTATCTTTTTTCTTTAGATAAAAAGTGAAACTGGTTGTAAAAAACCCAAACAGAACACTTATAAGGATAATCACCTTTTTGGCCAAGTATGTTACACACAAGGAATTTGCTTCCGGTACAGAACCGATGGCAGCCATCTGCGGCGCCACCTCAACCAATGGCTCTAACCATCAGGGGCAGTTCAGTGTCTTGCCCAAGGACACTTTGACACATGGACTGCCGGCACCGAGATTCAAACCTTGAACCTTCTGGTTGGAAGACGGCTGCTCTACCTACCGCACCACTGTCACCAGTTTTAAACTAGTTAGTGTTAAACTATTAGAAATTACTCATTTGTTGTGTCAACATCCGTCTTCTTTCTGTGGAAGTTTTGTTGGTACGCCTAAGCTGCAGTGAAACTGTGTTAAATCTTTAATTGATTGCTTTGGACTTGATGACAATGGCCTGTGTGACTGTTTCTGTCCTGGTAAAAGACTTTTTCTGATGGAGTATTAATTTGATTTCTAAGTGTATTTATCATGCAGTTCTATTAATCCACCTTAAAATGAGTCTGACAAATAGCACAATTAATTTATGGCCTTTCAGAGCTGACAAACATAGACTCTCAAAGAGGTGTGAGGATTTGTTGGCAATCTGTTCCACCAACCAGATTAATGAATCAGGCTGGCACACCGCCTTGAGTGATCCATGTCAGAACATTACAAAACGGTAAAATAACTAATAAAAAAAATTAGCTTTTGTATATTCAACACTTGTTGTTTTTCTGTTAATTGCCATTAAACTGAGTGATGCACAGGCGTGGTAAATTGTTTAATGTGCTCTCACCATATCCGTGAGCATGGTGACATGTGCTAAGCTAACTGCTTTCCTTTAATCTCATTACTGTGAGATGCACCAATGGAAACAAAAGCCCCCACGCAAACTTACACAGATCAAATATTACTATGCAGGAAAATTACAATAATCCTCAGTGTATTTCATTATGCATGAATTAGCGACCACTAATGACAGAATCCTCTGT